GTGTCGGTCTGACATGGTGACAAGCAAAGAGGATCCTTTTCCAATGTACTCGGACGAAAAGTCCTTTTCTTTTTCGTTCTCCTGATATACTCATGCAAAAAGACGGAAAACAAAGGACATTCTCGGTTGCATTCCATCATACCCAACCCTGATGCTTAACCTACTATCTCCTACATAAGAATTTAGAAAAGATTCAAAAACATATCTGTTTTCAAAGGAAAAACGAAGAAGCCGCACTTCAATGAATAAAGAAAACCTAACAGCAGATTCGGGATCTCCGACATCGGTTACCCTTCCGTAGACCCTTACTCGACAGCGTAGAAAATTTTCATCGCTTAATTAGCTAATTAGCTAATGAGCTAATTGGAATTTCGAGAAACTAATATCAGATTCGAGATCCTGAATCTGCTGTTAGGTTTTCTTTATTCATTGAAGTACGGCTTCTTCGTTTNAATATCAGATTCGAGATCCTCGATCCCGATTCCCCTTCGGTCAACCCTTATAAAAAAAAATCTTTTGCAAAAAAGTGATCCCTGTCGCAAAAAACGTGACAGAAACTTTTTGTCAAAAAACTAACGCCGGATTCGTGATCCTCGACCTCGATTACCCTTCGGTCGACCCTTACCTGACAACGAAGAAAGTTTTCATTGCTTAATTAGCTAATTAGCTAATGAGCTAATTAGAATTTCGAGAAACTAATTTCAGATTCGAGATCCTCGACCCCGATTACCCTTCGGTCAACCCTTAAGATGGTCATCTGTGTTTCATGTGTATACTATTTGAACGAAATAAAACGAACGGACGAACGGACAAACGGACGAACGAACTTTAACTCAAATTCTGCGTATACCCTCCTTTCAGTAGAGGGAATAAATATCGAATTAATTCAACATTTATATGAAGAAACATCCGAAGTTTTCCATTGATAGAATGATTCTTCTTTTTTTATTAATATATTCAATACATTCTTGTTCTTTATCGAAACATTTTCTCATTTGTATTTGAATAAAATTTGATAATAAATTTAATACAATACTTAAACGATTTACAAGTAAAAATAAGAATTGAATTGAATAATAAAAAATGTTCAATATAAATCATCGAATTCTTTGGTTCTATTCAATATAAAAGAATTCGATGAAATTTAATTGTACAACTATCTTTTGGTATATATTGAAATCGATTAAATGTTACAATTTCATTTGTTTCCTTATTATTTAATAAAATAATAATAGAATAAATTTCATATCGATTAGTTGAACTTAATTGTAATGTTAAACTAATTCGTTGATTTTCATATTGATAGAAATTATCAGAATAACTTGATGAATATAAACATTCATATGAAGTTCCATTATTTATTTGTTTTTTAATCATTATTCCAGATTTACAATAATGTGACCATTGCTGATCTTCTTTTGAAAATTTTGAATTCTTTTTTATATTTGTAGAATTTTCTTTTTCTTTGTGTATTTCGACAAATTGATTTTGTTCATTTGGTTTTGTTAAAATAGGATAAGGTGATGAAGTAATAATAGAGAAGAATTTGATTCGATGTTGATTATTTTCTTTTAATTTACATAAGATTTGTTCAATTGAGTTTTGTTGACAAGTAAATGACTGATTTTTACAAAATTGTTCATCATCATTTAGTGGACAATCCGCATTCTGATCACATAATGAAGATACTCGTAAACATGTTCTATCCTTCAAACATCGAAAACGAATAAAACTATCATATGAGTTAAATGTACGATGACATAACCATGGTTCATCTGTTGCTCGAATACAATCATCAATTTTATCATTGACACGAATATGAGGTAAACAGGATATTGTATAATTATCAGAGGATATATATACATGACTTTCTATTGGACGAATTTCAGATTGACTACAATTTCATTCATCTCGTCCATCTGGACATGTCCAATAACCATCACAACATGAATACATATTGTCACATAACTTATTCATATGACATTCATGTTCTTCATTATGTAGTTCTCTCTTTAGGTTGTGATAAAAATGTTGAGAGATACCATCACAAAAGCTTTGAAATGGAAGCATTTCTTCAGTTTGTTCATAACTCATTGGACAAGCATGTTCCATCTGTAATGGTGGCCAACATTCACTTGCTCCACCGCATTTAGTTCGATGTCGATCATTAATCTTCATCGTCACCCTTAACGCAATCATTCATGGCATTCTTGAAACGATGCAAAGAAATCATTTTCAATGAATTTGAACATTGATAAAGTGTTCAATAATTTAAATATATCATTCTAGTTGAAACGAAACTTTGTAATATTAAAGAGGAACGATAATCCTCCTCGATCCATTGTATTAACTCACTCCAAGGATTCTCAACAGTACCGTCCCACGACATATATTGTTTCAATCCTTTCAAACAGGCAAAATCACCATAAATTATGTCATGTGAATAAAATTCATATAATTCCGGATTATAACATATGTAATCAGATGTGAAGTCATCAATCAAATTGCTTCGTAAGTGAATATTTTCATAGAAAATACGCACATGATTTGAATAAATGGCTACAGTTGGAAAGTGAAAGAACAAAGGACATTTTGAAGGATATTTATTGACAAAATCATCCATCATCCACATATGGCACGATATATAACTGACTTGTTTGACAAGTTTAGTTAAACAAATCATTAATATCCAACATATAAGCAGAACATAACATGATAATGGTACTCGTATTATTGTTTGCTTCGATATGTTGCATAGACAATATGATTAAAGAACATTTCTTGTTCGTAACGCGATCCAAATGAATATTGGTTGGCATCGGAAACCAAACTGTGGAAAAGTACAATTATAAAAATAATTACTTGATGAAACTATTTCTAATTTCATTAAATAACGTTGATAATCTTCAATTATTATTTTTGGAATCTAGCATGAATGAAGTTGCTCTAGAGTAATACCCATTAAACTAACATCTTTGGATATTAATCAACGAGCAAGTGGATGCATAAATGTATCTATCATATCATCATACAAGTCTTGATTAGCTAATTTTATTTGCTGATAATCATAATAGTCCAAACAATCATATTCTAATATATTGTTACCAACTACCTCTCGAGTATTATACATATTATCAATGTTAATTAAAATAACATCAGTAAAAAGACTTAAAATATCCGATTACCTGCAATAATCGAGATCATGTTCATTTGCAAATGAATGAATGAAGATTAACTCCATTCAAGAGACGGAGACAGAGAGAGAGAAAAATGACTAGTTAAATGTGATGAAGAAAAGAGAGATAGAGGAAAAATGTGCTAACATGATCAACAAACGAATGAATGTGACTGAATGATGATAAAATTACACGTAGAATGCAGAAAATGATCATGACTTATTCTTTACTTTAGTATTTATTCAACATGTTAATGAAAGAGTTTGGAATAAATTGTTGATGTAAAATAGAAGGTTGAGAGTGAAATATGGTATTAGGCGAGTTAATACGACTAGAATTAACTAAAAATTAAATCTAAGCCTCTTTGAACTACAGAATTATCGGTTTTATTAAAACCTGAAGAGATTTTGCATATGATGTGTTATAGCGTTTACCGGGAAATTCTATATGTTTTGGGTACCAACTGATTTCCCGGAAATTGAATTTGTTGATCGGACAAACTGAACACTGTGAGCAGCTATAATTCTCGTATAGGGCATAATGGGGCATAATGGGCATAATCGGGCATAATGGGGCATAATCGGGCATAATGGGGCATAATGGGCATAATGGGGCATAATCGGGCATAATGGGGCATAATGGGGCATAATGGGGCATAATCGGGCATAATCGGGCATAATGGGGCATAATGAGGCATAATGGGCATAATGGGGCATAATCGGGCATAATGGGGCATAATCGGGCATAATCGGGCATAATGGGGCATAATCAGGCATAATCAGGCATAATCAGGCATAATGGGCAGATTATGGGTTATAGCATTTTCCAAGAAACTGTATATATCCTACTAGAGTTAACTTCCGGAAACCGGATTTCATCATCAGTTACATTAAACTGCCAAACATCCTGCAACTTTCATCATAAAATTGAGAACCATTATGAACTCTAGAGTAACTACCCAATTTGAGTTGGAATATAAAGGGAAATTTCGAAAATATTTCTTATTCTAAAATTGATGCTGAAAGAAAATATAGTTAGTTTTAGTTTTCCCTATTTATAATCCATATTTAAGCATAGATGCCCCTCTACATATGAGTTACAAGTTCATTAAGACTAAAGCAAATCTATTCCTAACAATTCCTATTTCTAGAGGAAAGCATGTATTTGAACTATAAGTGTATGGAATAGGTGTGTAACAGCTCTGAACTGTAGAACTGGTTACCACCGATTCATGTGAACGGGTACAACCAGTTCAGGGTCTGCGAACTGCACCAACCGACCAGTTCATCAAAAAGGAACTGGTGAAAATGCTACTGAACAAGTTTTTCTTTATTCAACTGACCACCCAGTTCAGTTCCTGTGATCTGAGAAAGATCACACGAGTCCCGCTATTTGAACTGAACCGGAACTGTCACATACCTATTATCAAATCAAAATTACAAATAATTTTACTATAAACAAAAGTTTTTATTTTCGTTTTGTTCATTTATTTTAGAAGTTTCAACACGCAGCTGAATCATCGTTTATATTATAACTCGAATTAGGCAATTCATGTTGTTTACTGAATTACTTTGCATGATATATCTTGTACAAGGAGTGAGAATGTGATAGTATCCATTGATGGGTGATATCATCGTCGTAAAATTCTTTCACCTCTGTATTTTCTTAGTCAAATATTCGTTTTACTATAGTTTGTGTTGTTTGATAGCATTGTTCTAATGAATTATAGAACTGTAGGTTTATGATTTACATGATAGATCTATCCTCAACTAGAATTATTCTGTTTGGAGGCATGTAATTCAAATAAAAGTGAGTTTCTTGTCAGAGTTTGAGCTTAGGTATTGCTGTCAGTATGATTGCTTTGGTGACAATCGAGCAGAAGACATAAATATGATTAGAAAAGCTTTAGGAAGTCGAGGTTACTGTTGATGTTACAACTTAACAAGTACGCTTCATATCTAAACACAATGGGAAAGCAGTAAAGTGGAATTTGTAATTTTGAGATATACTGATATGAAATCGATCTTAATGCAGCCGGTCGTAGGCAATAATGAAAAACGAAATCAATTTTAATTGATCATCAATTACATTAGCATTTGGTGATAAATATGACTTTAAACAAGGAGTACTTCAACTTATAACTCATAATCTGTGTACCATCAATATGTTTATGTCATTTGTTTCATAAATCCATTGAAACGAGTGTTGACGATAGTAAAATAAATATTGTTTTCAAACGCATAGAGCAATCATGTTAATAAAATCTATTAAACTATATGAATGGAGTTTTCTTTTGTTATCTGGGAAATGAGCATGGTTTGCGTTGACATTATTATGCAATTTTATAAACAAAGATAAAAATAAAAATTCCAAAAATCGATTTTATACTCTTTGATTCAATTTAATGCCTTTAACGATGGATACTCCAATATAAATTAATATCATTAGTGAACATATCCAAATATTGCTGGAATCGTTTTTGATGCTGGCCATATCCAATGTCAACAGAAGTATTAAACTCATTAAAAATTACTTATAATTATTAGACTATTTTTCGAACAAGCACGCTTTCCATTAGTAATATGTGGTGAGACATTTTCAACAAAATTCTTCTTATTTTTTTATTTTTGTAAGAAAAAGTATTTTGTTATAAGCGTGCATTTGCAAAAACATTACCGATGGTATTGTTAAGGATGCCATCTGATGTTTTCTTTTTCATTGGATGTACTAATCGAGCAAAAGCTAGAAAGTAATCATTTTTAAGTTATTATGTTTTATCGAAAGGGATAATTTTTTTATTCTACTTGTTGTAGAAAACAGTCATACAAAAATAAATTGCCTGCTTGTTTGCTTGTGCGTCTGCAGATCACTCATCGATGAAAGATGAAATAAAATTAGACTAAAGGGGTTTTTTTAACTAAGAAATTTGGCAAAAGAATAATCATCGTTCTTTATAAAAATATCTATTTCGTAAAAACTCATTCCATTCCTAGAAAAAAAGGATTCTCAAAGAAGCTTCAAAGGGTTAATATTAGATTCATGGTTATCAACACTGACTATTATTTGATTAGGTCTTACACAAAATATTAATTGATAATTCATTAATAATTAGTTTGTAAATACTTGTTGGTGAACTAAAACTGACATAAGATTTCAACTCGCCATCATTGATTATCCTTCAATGAAGCCATATGGAGAAAAATGATCTATCTTTAACTTGTTTTTCGCGTGCTCAATAAAATACGAATATAGGAGCAAACAAGCAAACAATATCTTTTTATTAGACTCTTCACTACGAGCAAGAAAATACACTTACAACGAATAGCTTCAAGCTCAGTTGGGTTCATTGAAGAGATACGTTTTTCTGCTCGTTGACTAGATGATGGAAACAGCTTTTTAACGACACTTCTACATGTCGTTGTTATTCGTTTGTTCTTGCATCGTCTTAATTCAATATAGGATAGTCCTAAGATTTTTGCAATTCTCTTTATTTTTCTTTTCTTTTTTTGATTTTCTTCATTTTGTTGTTTTTGTTGTTGGACCTGCTGTTGTTGGACCTGTTGTTGTTGGATCTGTTGTTGTTGGATCTGTTCTTCGTTTTCATCTAAACGGTTGGAAAACAAAAAGGATATCAGAAAAAAATCATCCAAAAACGCAATGAGAAAAAAAAACATTTTGATCATTTATAATGTAAAAATTCTCAAATATATGTCAATAGTTTTTTGTGATAAATACTCAATATCAACATCATAATTGTTAGCTGGATTTCATTAAAATTTTAATTTAAAATATTGTATAAAATCAATTGAAACTCATTTTTACTCGAAATATGAAGGAATTACAATTACAAATTCAGAACTCGATCATAGTTTTTCAATTTTAAAGATTTAATTCATTATATTCGATTATTCTGTACTTGAATTAATTAAACTCAATCTTCCTTCGGAAAAATCTTCTGAAAATCTATTGTTAACTTGCTCAATTTCAATTTCAATCGATTAAATTGAAAAAAATCAGTTAGACAGAATATCTTATTTATTTTCATGATTTTTTTGCTTTTACAGCACCAGATGCTGCTCTTGATCTGTCTTTATTTCAAAATTTCACTTTTAAAAGATTTTCTCTCTTTTTCAACATACCCCGGTTTACTTGATTCAACGCAACCCGATCTAATCGAAGAACACAGTTTTCACTATCAATTGTTGTTCTATTTCAAATTCATGTTATAAAATCATAAATCGTTGTTTTTAATTCTCTTACTTTTCGAACAACTTTGCCTTTAAATTTTCAATTTCAACTTTTAAACGTTGATTTTCATCCTTTAGAAACCTATTTATATCTAATAATATTTCAGCTGCTAAATTATTTGATGGTGGTGGAATAATAACAATATCATTATCATCTTCATTATCACTATTTGATGATGATGCTAAGTTTGTTGTTTCTTGATGATTTTGAATAAAACTTTGTTTGTTTATTTTAGGTGGCATTTCAAAATGATTTCAATTTAAATTATGTTCTATTTTCAAGTGCAAATTAGTCACTATAGCACTATAGCTGTAAAATGGATAGTGGA